TTTAAAAAAATCAAAGAACCTTAAAGAGTTATCCATGATGCTGTTCAGTCCCCAAGGATGATACAGCTCCTCTCTCATTCTAGATTTCACACTTCAATGTTTATATTATGTGATTAAGTACTTGATATCTTAAATCCACCATACCTTATAAACAATACGAATAGAAAATCTGAAATAAATAAATCCACGTTATAAATAAATAAATAAACAAATACATAAAACCACCTGGACAATATTCCAGTTTTCTGCACACAGAACCAGCAGGAAGGCCATGAGAGAAAAGCCTTGTGAAGAATTACAATAGACCTGGGCCCTACAACTTCTACACATTGTAAAGCTGAGCTTAGCTGCCAGAGGAATTCTGCAGGAGAGAAACACAGTGAGCAAAACTCCAAGTAGTAGGAATACAGTTTGCATAACATTTTTCATTTCCCAGCTGGTAGTTATTTTAGGGAATCTGAGAGTTCAGAAAGGTACCATACTGTGTTTTAACTACTGTAATTAACATAACTAACAGTCCCGGTCTGTGCTTTCTAATGTTTACATGTATGATTCACTTCTAGTTGGAGTCAGGCATTCTAAATTTCATGTGTTTCTAAGCATCAGCAGAGCCTTCTATTACTACACTGCTACGCTAGGCTTGGCCAAGGGCGAGATATTGTGGTTAGCAGATCTTACACATTCATTTATCTAATGACTAATATGAGATGCAATTTCATAATTACTTTGAAGATTCCTGCTGCTCTAAAAGCTATGGGACTTATTCTAATGACCAGCCCAAAGAAGAATGGTGATATATATTGGAGAATTCAAACAGACACAAAACGGAGAGAAAAATATAAATTCTCCATACATGAGGCCCTCACTGGCAAAATACATAGAATGTTCTGAAGTTGACAGGTTTATAACTCTAAATGGTTTCACAAATGAAATCCAAACAAAAGAGCAGAGATGTACTCTAAATCACTCAGCAATTGCTGCTTAGAATAACCAGCAATCCCTAACTCCAGCAAACAAAAAGAGTTGCTTTAAGTAAGCTTCATGAATGGAAAAAAAGTCAGTTGTTCTTTCAGCTTTATTTTTCTACATTCTTGAATCTATATACATACTGATTCAGTTCACCCTGACAAATACTGCATAACCAACTATCAATCACATCAACTTTTTATATGTTGAGAGAAGTCAGATACCAAGTGATAGAATGAGTTCAGGCAGAGGGCATATGTTAAGCAGCTGTGAGTCCGTTTAAGCTGTCTATACTCCTAAAAGCTTAATGTCATTACACAGAACTCTGATTTCTTCCCTTCCCACCTTACACTAGAATATCCACATTATATATAATAGGAATTATTAATTTACTGGAAGAAATATAGTCACAGGGTGACTGCAGCAATACAAACATTTTGCTTATAAATTAGATATAGTATATTTTGCTTACAGTGAAAGATTACACAACCAAATACTTCTGTTTAGGCTCTAAAGAAATCTTTACTTACGAATAAAAGGATCTCAGGTAATAATCCAGAAACAATTTAAACCCACATAAGTTAGTACTGTTGCCAAAAGACACACTCTCCATTTTCTCCCACCTCTTTCTTGGGTTGGCACAAGTGCTTGTAGAGTCTTGTAAACTCATCTGGGTTAAAATAACCTCTCTATCACCCCCCAAAGGTTACTTTAAAACAAAATCAGTTTCTTAATTCGATTCACTGTGAATACTTCTGCCAACAAAAAGAGGAGGTGATAGAAAGGTGGAAGCAAGTGGCTGTGCAGCTTGTGGGATCCCGTTTTTTGCAGCCTCTGGCTGAAGACACCATTCCTTAAAATAAATATAAGTGTAAAATACGTAATGTAATAAATATAAGTGTAAAATACGTAATGTTGCTATGTGTAGCCTACCTTTTACATATAAGGATGATGAACTTGACAGCTCTCAAATTATCACAGATCTTTTGGGATTTGTTGCTTTTTAGGAGATGCCATGCATTGCACGGTTTTGGGCTTTCAGTTATTTCCATCTAACATCAAAATGACAGCAGAGGCCCAATAAAGGTAAAAAGCATAGTTTTTGCTTCTGAGGGCCTGAACTCAGGCTGTTCCCATGAAGCACAAGGGTACATCCAGTCACCAGGAGTCTGGTTCTGTTATCAAGACTGGTGACAACATTTCCAGTGAGCTCAGTCAGAGGCTGCAAAAAACTAGAAGGAGGCAGCAGGAGTGGGAAATGTTTTAGTAATAAGGCACAAGAAACTGAAGGGAGTTAGAAGAATTAATGTCTATATGCAGGAGGGACCAGAAGGAAAACTGAAAGAACAAAGATCAGGAGTATCTGGTAAATGTACAGGAGGAGACTGCAGGGCAGGAAGGGGGACCCTGTGGAATAGATGGGGTAATACAAGGAGGAAAAAAAGGCTGATGGATGTGCTAAACCACACAAAATACCACAAAGGGAGAGTGCAATGGAAGAAAGGGAAACAAAGGCAAAGTAAACGTGTGAATGAAGTAGAGGACATAAACCCCTTGAGCACATAAGTAATATGACTGGAATAGCTGTTCTGTGTTTAGAGAGATGGTCAAGAGTAAAAATGGCATCTCCCCAAGCAAAGCACAGGACAGTGCAGGTAAACAGAAACACATCCAGATGAAGAACAGGCAGCTCGCCCTGCTCGTAGCTCAGATATGGATGCTTAATGTTCAGCACAGAATCTGAGAACATCACCCAGAAGGCAGCTACTATTTCTCAAAGTTAGGCAAAGCAGAAAGCAAGTGACAAGGTGGTATTTTTAAATGTATGATTTCCAATTTGTGATATAACCCAAAACTACCAATAATGTATGCTTCATATTTTTATTATTCAAAATGTGTTAGGCAAGAGTCAGACTACTGGAATCCTGTAGAACCATCTTCCTTCTACACAGAGGGCTAGCATTTGCAGTAAGACCGTAACGGCATGGACCAAACACCTTGACTAGGTTTTTGATAATTTTGATACAAATATTTTTTCTTGCAGACAGGCTCAAGAAAGTAAATAAATATAATAATAAAAAGTCAACAGATAACCAGCATAGCAATTTATAAATTTTTACAGTGTACAAAACTCACATTTTCACAATACTGAAAGTATTAGAATAAAAGAGAAGACCCTCTCTGTTTTTCATCCTCTCAGGTTCAATTATTTGTTCCATTAGTTTCTCCCTTTAGATGATGTTCTCTGGCTGCTAGAGCTGTTGTGTTTAACTGTTCAGTATATACACTGACTTCCTGCCCATCAAAAACTGTGAAGCATAGTCAGGAAACAGGGAAACAGATAGACTCCAATTGGAGTTGTCAGGTCTTCTGGCCTTTCCAAGTTCTAACTACAGTGAGAAGTTGCTGGTGTGCTTCCTGCATTTTAGAATGAGCAAGAAAATCCCCTTCATTTACCACCTACTGATCAGTGGTCAACAAACACATCAGAAACATGCAAAAATTGCTTGTGAATTCTGGGATGGGTAATGGTAGCAGTCACCTATTAAACTGCTCTGGTAGTTTAACAGATGATGACTGAGTTCAAAATAAAATGTCACTTTTATTATTTAGCTAATAAACAAATGTTACTATCTAATATATACCCATATCCTTAACTTTATTAAGATATATAATCTCATAAAGAAAGCAAATTATCTTCACACACTATACAAATATATGACAAGATGTGGTCAAGGCAGTTAGATGAGAACAATATGTGTTGCCATTCTCTGTCCTTCCCTTTGCATTTCCTCTTGGAGTTGCATCATGTCTGAAGACACCATTTCAGTTCAGCAATTACGCAAAGCAAGCAGCAGTACCCTGTTAAAAATGAAACTCTAGCAAACTTTAAAAAGGCTCAGAATTACGTAAGCAGAACATACAGTAATCACTGAAGTCTGTAATCTCACGGTGGATACACACTGTGATGTGCTATACTACCAGCAGAACAGCGCAATCATAAGAAACAACTGAGAATTTGAAATCTTACTGCAAAATCATTAATTTGGTCTGCTTAAAACTCTTAGTCATAGGAAGCATGCAAAAACATATTTTACAGGCCTATGTGTCTCTGAGTACACTCACATTATAGCTACTTAGTAGAAAATCTTACACTAATGGTGCAGAAAAGGAGCTTCTGCTCCAAGAATAGAATAGGAAGAGGAACAGTATCTAATGCTGATGATTTAAATACTACCAAGATCTTGAGGCACAGCCATTGAGATAAAAGGTAATCAGACATCTAAATTAAATCCCCCTAAAAAAGAAAAAAAAAGGGAAAAAAAAAAAAAAAAGAAGAAAGAAAAAATATAGGAAAATTTCTACCTGGGAGCTGTTTTTATTAAGTGTCAGGACAGAAGGCTGCTCTGCCTTCTGAACCCGTCCACTTAGAAATGTGTTTATATCAAAATCAAATTGATGTTCAACTATCAAGTTATCTTTTTGACAAAAATATGTAGCTACTATAAAAGTAACTCAGCGAATCAGTGTATCTACAGCATAAGTAATAACTTAAATTTGACACTTCTGTGTATTTCTCATAAGCTAAAGGGTAAAAGAAAATAAGTAAGACCTTCCATAGTTTAGTTCTTCTCTGCAGGGAGGGGGAAAAAAAAAGATCAGTAAACAAAGCTTAGTAATTTTATTCAACTTTGCTGTAAAATTGCTCCATCTTACAACTTTGTTTTCTCGTTTAAATGTTACATATAGGCATATGAAACTGATTTCACCCAATACCAATGGACCAACAAAGCACTGTAATTTTAACTATTCTTTTTATTTCCAGTTCCTTCAGGAAAAAAATCCACATTACCAGCATTAGACAGCACTACAATTTGACTGGTCTTTCCCTAATGAAACTACTAGAATTTAAGCAAACAACTGCATTATTTTAATGTGAATGCACACAACAGAAAGAACTATTCAAGTTACAAAAACATCTGACTAATTTTAATCAGAAGAATCTTTTATTTTGACCAAAGTACGTAGGGTCATTGGCACAGAAGTAATGACACAGAAAAGTGTTCAGGTACAAAACATCTTATTCTTCAAACATTAAGTTAATTTGTTTTCTAAACTTAAACTAAACTAATATTTGATCAGTTGAACAAATATTTGAAATGCATTTGGCTAGTTATCTATTTAGAAAGAGAACAAATTTATTTAAAAGAACTTTTTTTCCTTCGGTCACCACTGAACAAAAACTAGATTGAGTTTACAAGATTTTAAGATTTTTTTACGTGGTCTTGTATTAGACCCTTCCTAACTGATTATTCCTGTAAGGACGCTAGTGGTAAATGGGAAATGCTGTAGGAATAGGTGTGCTTTAATAGGAAAGAACAAGTACACTATAAGAACTGATATGGGAAAACAATCTTTATCTACTACTTAAATAAGCAGAGCTAGTTTAGGTAGTAGTTTTACCCTTGAATAAGATATTAAGTAATTATTTTTCATGATAATTTCTGCTGTAAAAGTAATATCTGGAGGAATCATGATGTCCTCCAGTCATGTCCACAAGTAAAATCTCTACTTTTGTTTACAGAAAAGCTCAGGCTCCATGCTCCTTGCAATTCCCTCCAAGCACATCTCTGATATTCGTACACACATTTCAGGTTGTCTCCATGTGTGCAGCTGATCTCTTTCACCTCACGTCAGGGAGAAGTTCAGTGTCTGAAGAACAAAAAATTAAATTTGGTCTCCAGACCAACTCTTGAGATAAGAGTTTTACACCACAATAAGCTTTCATTAGAGACATTTCTGAGAATCGTATGAAGGTGAGACACTGTGTGGGCAGTTTGAGCAAGCAGGGCCATGCAGAAATCAGGATCCTGTCCCCATTCCTGCTCCACCAGTGCTGGCTCCAGGTGAGGTGGCTTTCTCCATTTGGGAGTGAAAACCCTTCCAGAGCACGGGGATTCCACACACTCCTCGGGTAATGCACTCTGGTGCTTAATTACAGTGAAAAACGGCTTCCTCATATTCAGCTAGAACTCTGTTTCAATTCATCACCATTTCTCACATCCTCCTGCTGTGCACCTCAGCAAGGAGCCTGGCTCCAGCTTCTTGGTGACCTCCTCACAGGGAGGGGACTAGGCTCAAGTACAAAAAGAATTATACATCAGTTATTACATTGCTCTTCTACTAGAATTTTTTTTAAGCCATATTTAAATATCCTTTTGAACAATACAGTACTCAACAAGAAGATATTTTAAGCGCAAATCTATAATGTTTCCACAAAAAAATAAAAATGCAATTAACGTGCAGTTCAGGTCCTCCTGAAGCTTTATTAGAAGTGCAGGCATACACTACTGCTTGCTAAATTTTGAACCAGAGAACTTACTGCAGTGGAATTATGTCGCTATACCATTTAGATGAAAGGAATAAACATTTGACAGTAGAAACATTCATATTAAAATCTATGCCAAATTTCTGACAGGCTGCAAAAGACAAAGTCTAAAGAAGTGAAAAGCATAATCATCTCAAGGTTCATCTTCAGTTTAAAACTGCAAGTGTGATCAAAAGACTGAAAAAAAAGTTGTTACTTGCAAATGAATTAACCTGGAATGCCTCCTAACTGTTCAGCCTATACATTTACTAGAAATAAAACCAGAAAAATAACTTTCTAATACAGTTCCTCTTACAAGCAACTGTCAAGTTCTTTCAAGCATTTTTATCTATTCAAAGAGTAGATCTGCTGCCAAACTGTTTGTATATCTTTCCTTTTAAATAAATAAACTGCTTTAAATCCCACACTGAGAGGTGTCAGAAACATAGCCCATATAAAAGAGCACACAGACCTCTAAAGACTTCTGAAATCTTTCATGCATAATAAAAGCCTTAAAACTTCCATTACTTTTAGCTTTTTAGAATAAAGGCTTTGTATTTGGATTTCAATCAAATTAGGCTTCACATTCCTGATACAACAATTTCAGTTATTAATTAATAATTTTCATAATTCTGTCCAAAACCTTTTAATTCATGTCTTCCCTACAAAGTTGCATGGTTTCAATAGGACAGCAACTGTAGGTTCTCTGAAATGGTTCGAAAGTTACACTGAATGCCATTTGTGAATCCTGCTTTAGCATATGTTCAGTTTATAAAGTTATTTAAGTGCTGTACAATAAATAATACAGGAACATATGCTTTCAACACATTTGGAAGTAAAGTAATAAAAACTGTCTTGTTTTGGCCAAAGCACAAAAAATTTACATGCAACAAATGTTGCAAATAGGAAGCCACAAAATTCGCTACAAAGATAGAACATTTTTTAGCATTTTTGTGGCTCTTTCTCCAGACTGGTAACCAGAATTAAAAAAACCTAGACCATAAAATACCTAACTTGCTTGGTTAGCAGGGTCTTTTTGTAGCTGTGCCTCCATCTCACATGCTCGTCTGTACGAGACAGCCAGCAGCATGAGGAATAAGCCGCAGCAGCGTTTCAGTACCTTCATTAACAAAGAATCCAGAATACAGAGGGCTCCGTAATAAGTGAAGAAGAAAGTGGGTTTATGGTATCAGTACAGGCAATACATTTTAAAGATATGTAGTGGCTCCACAGTAATTAACAACTTTTTGGGATAATTGTTCACAAAGAATTTGGTTTGTGGTGACTCTCAGGCAGTAATCTTGCAGAAATGAGTAACTAGAAACTATTACAGTGAGACTGACATGGCTTTGCCAGAACAAACATTGGACACAGCATCATCCTTAAGGAAAAAATGATGGGTGAAGGTGCAAGCTGCACTCCCACAAGTTCTTCTGTAAACTCTTAAGTGGAGACATCTTTGACAAAGCTGCAAATATTCTTTCACTGCTTGTGGGAGCACTCTGGTACCTGGCTGGGTCTGCGGATTGTTGGTTTTCTCACATCCATGTCCAGCAGGGCAGGTACCACTGAGGGTGGGAAGATCTCCAAGGTTAGTGCTAGGAGCAATGCTCCTGGTATGTGATGTGGCACAGGGCTCCTTGGTGTCTTTCACCAAGAGCAGTACTGTTCGGGTTTGGTAACGCTGAGTGTCACCATACTGGCTGGTTTGATGCTAGCATTTTGTATGATGCCTGATCATTTGAGAAGCTTCTGGTATGAGATGTCAGCTGGAACACTGGCTTAGGCTTTCCATTCCTGTCTACTGAAGGAAGAGATCTCTCTTCAGTCGCTCAAGACCAGTGCTCCCTCCTTCTCAGCTCTTGAGTGAAGAGGGGGAAGAAGTAAAAATACATGGAAAACTTGTAATAGTAATTCAGTTTTGAATGCTCATACAGCTCCCATGGCTGACAAAATTACTCACAGTTGTGAGTAATTAAAAACTGTAACTCAACAGATAAAAAGGGTTTGTAGGCAAAACCACAATTGGATCCTCCCTTGCAGTTTGTAAAACTGTCTAGTAAGGTCTGAACTTCTGTATTTGCTCATATTGTATCTAAAGCATCTTGGTGCAAATGGTTTCCCAATTAAAGATAACATATGGGACCAGACAGAAATTAGTCTATCTAATTTCTAACTGCACATTCAGCACTGAATCACTACAGAACCCTTTAACATTACTGAAATGCTACATCTAATGTAGATACCAAAATTAAACTAAACTTGCAGTTCTGTGCCTAAAAACTGCAACAAATGAAGCAAAAGAATTCATATGTTCTATAAAGAGAATCTCTAAAGGGCACTTTTACCCTGGGAGCCATCTTATCAAATATTGTTCCAGTCTGGAAGTTCCAAAAGGAAAGGAAACATTAGCATTTACCTACTTTAAGAAAGAAGTGGAAAACAATAATCTTTGAATACAACTCAGCACATGATTCATTATATCAAGTGACCATAAACCTGTATATTCCTGATTAGTGAAACACTGGTGGGTTAATACCAGGGGAAAAAAAATGCACTAAGGAAGTCAGAGTTTATCTGTATTATTCTTACAATGTGGATGACATAATGTAATCATTTGATTTTTTTCATATTCAATATTATCTCTGATATAGTTTGTTCCTTCTAATGTGATGTACAGTATAAAATCACCCAAATTTCAAAAATGTATTTCTATTTTAGTATTTTTTGGTTTGCTTTTTTATTACTTTATCAGGCCTTAAATCCTAGGATGTCTTTACTCTGGAAGAAGAAAACTTAAATGCTGTTACATACACATGCAGAACATTTAGTATGCAATCCTTTTAGCTGCAAAATCAAATGCACCCAATGGAACACAAAAAAGAATCCACATCAGACATACATTTCAAACACATTACACAAGTGATCAAAGAAAAAAGGGAATAAATCTAAAGTAAAGCTACTTGCATAACAGACTGCATAAACCATTGAATCTTTTGAGTGGGATAGATATATTTCAGGCTGTGCCACTAATGTGAAGTTTTAATGGTGTGGGAACTATAAACAAAACTTCTTAAAGATAGATAATAAACTATGAAGTCTGCTATACCATTTAAAGGACCAAATAAACAAATATACATGTTTATTTTTCTGCCAAAAGTGGACATCATACAAATCCTGGTGATGGATGCTACAGAGTTGAGAATGTTGTCACTTCTTCTGGACAATGAAAGGAAACCACAGAAACCAGCAGGAGAAGCAGCCAAGTTCAGCCACCATATTTGGGCATCATGATCCTATAAATACACATGCAGCATCTGAACAAGGCTACAATTGTCATTCCCCTTGTAAGAAAATGATCAGTTGTACTACGCTAATAATATACTCTGAAATACCGAGGAATCAGAATCAATTTTCATGTAATAATACCAGAATGTGATTCCACACTTCAGTAATAACATTCTGCCGTAAATGTGCAGCAAAGATGTGTGCAGCACAGGCTTGGTAATACAGATCCAGAGAATTGTGCAGCAACTAGTCCAATCCAGTTAGCAGTGAGGGCAGGGGAGGAGGACACAGGAGGACACAAACTAAGCTATGATGGTTTATGCTGATAAAGGGGCTGGCTAGAACTGCTCCTCGTATGAGCTCATTACATACTGTGAGCATGATGCTATCACAGAAGTGCTTAAAATGAAAGCCGACAACATAGATTCCTGTTATTTTGCTTGACTCAAAAAAAGTCATTTACACTGAAAGCTTTGTCTTCATTCATACCACGAAGAGTGCAATATACAATATGTTATCACAGGAAAAGCATGTCACAAGAAAAACCTCTTGATTTCATTTAATTTAAAAAGAGACAGAACTAGGTCAATTTGATATACCACCATGACTCTGCTTTGGTTATCAACAAGTACCATGTACTACTGCCCATAATTCAATTTTAGGAGTATATTATCTAGCAGTTTTATAATCAAGATCATTTTTACTACTGGAAATGATATAAACTTGGACAAGGGTAACATTCAACATTATCAAATGGGAGGCATCAGAGTTATGATTTCTAGGCACAAGTGGTAATTGGATTGGAAGGCAAAGTTCAAGAAAACAGTAATACTCTTGTGTATTAACAGAGGGCCTGTTCTGCTCTGTAGTGCACTACCCAAGGCCATTTCCTTCCTTAATATTAAAATTCTAATCAGCCTTCATTTCATCTACAGAAATTTATAACCTAGTCCAAGTTCTGTGTATAGCTTTAGAAACAAACAGACCCAGAATATGAGATCCAGCATGTTATAAATTCTTAATTCAACTATAAAAAAACTGTACATGCACAAGTGGA